CCGAGCCGCGAGGGCCGCGGCTCCCGCTGCCCCGAGCGTCCGGCCGCCTTCCCGGAGACGCAAGATGAACCTGAGGCTTCTTGGGGCCTGTCTGCTCGCGCCCGCCGGGAGAGGAAGAGGGACGCTGTCTCCGCCCAGACTCTCCGCAGCCCGGCCCCGGGCGCTCCCGTGGCCGAGGAGGCCGCCGCCCAGTCCCCGTCGGCCCGTGCTGGACCGTGCTGCGCTGGCCGCCTCCCCGCTCGTTCTCTGACTTCACTGGGTGCTTGACTCTGCACCCGGCCGCCACCCCACCGGCTTGGGCTTGCAGCTCTCCGCTCCCAGCAGTCAGGAGGGGAGGAGGTAGTCTGCTGTGGGAGAGGAGGCCTCGCCCAGGGCTGCACCTTAATTCTCCCGCCTCCCCACGCTTCACCCCCGTCAGCCTCCCAGGGGAAGGCGCAGGGTCGGTGCCTTCTGCACGGTGACCCCGTCGTCGCGAGGTTTTCTCCTCGGCGGTGTGGTTACCGAGACCCTTTCACACACCCGGGTGGAGAGGCTGGGCGGAAGCCGGCTCCCACTGCCAGGCCCCCTCCCTGCCAGATCGGGGCCGGCGCGAGCCGCCTCTCCCAAGTGCAGTGTCGTCCCGGGCTCCCCGCGCCGGTGGGCTGCCCGGCGCCTCCCTGAGCCAGGCCGTCCAGAGCCTCCACGAGGGACACCGTGTCCAGCAGCAGCTGCTTGCCGCGCAGAACGCAACTCGCCCCGGGTTCCGGCCCCAGCGCTTGTCGCCCTCCCGTCGGGCATCGCAGGCTTGACTCCAGCCCCCCTCACGCCACCATCCGGCCTGCGGCTGCACCCAGGGGTCCTCACCTCACACCCGGGTCCTCGCCCCACACCCGGGTCCTCCACGCCACGCCCCGGTGCAGGGAATAGCGGCCCTCGGCGCCGTGGCCCAAGCCACCCGCGGGGGGGGGGGCGGGGGGGCAGCCTTTGCTGCTTTCCCATTCCCGTTTTGTTTCTCCAGACAGTCATGACATTCCCTTTTGAGCATCTAACACAGACACTAGCAGAGTCGCCTGCTTGACGATAGCGGGCAGTCAGCATCAGTTATCAGTCGTTGTCCGTGCTGTCCTTTGACGTTCTTTAGGCTTCCTCTGGTGCCAACTTTTGCACTGGCCACCGCCCCACCAGCACGCAGGGCTCACCCCTCTGTGCTCCATCATTCCAGCCGCCCGCAGGGCCTGGGGTTCCTCTGGGGCGCGCCTCAAGGCCGCGCCGCCTACCAGTCTTGTCCTCATCGGGCTGCGTCCTTGGGGACAGTCCAGTCGACCCTGGGAAGAGGGTGAAAATCATTCTCTTTCGCCCAAGTCTGCAATAACCAGCCCCTGTGCCCGCCCCGCCCCCTGCGGGCCGCCTGGGCTCCTCAGAGCTGCCCAGTGAGTCGCCCTCGGGCTTATGCTGCCTGGACCGCGGAGGTCGTGGGTGCTGTTATTTTGATCTTCCACGTGGCAACTCTGTCAGACCCCTCCCCGCCGGGGAGGGTGATTTGTCCTTCTGTCCTCCGACCCGTGTGCCGGGCCCACCTGTGGGGAACCTGTCCCCACAGGCCACCACGCCCCTCCAGATCCGCCCTTCTCTGCCATTCTGCCCCAGCCCTCTTCTGAACACACCAGCTCTTGCCTGGCGGTGAGGGGCTCTTTCAGCTTCCTCGCCCCCCCGAGCAACGCGGCCGAGTTTGCGGGCTCCTCCTTGAGGGCCCTTGGGCTGGGTTTGGGAGAAGGGGGCGGGCAAGCGTTGCCGTGCGCAGCGTGATGAGGAGGAAGACACTGCCTCGCAAACAGGATTTTAAGACCCCTGGAGTTGCGTAGTACGGAGTAGAGAGTAGACTAGAGAGCCCCGTTCTCTCGGCTGAGCCGCAGGCCGCCTTTCTGCAGCCACTCGGGCCACGCGCGGGTGGCCTCACCCCTGAATCCTGCCTTTGACTCTTCTGCCTGCCGCTGGGAACAGATGTGTTGTTCGCTCCGTATTACATGTCCCGTCTGACTCGGTGACGGTGGGGGTGTGAGCGTTCGGGGGGCAGAGACCGGCGGCAGCTGAGCGGTCAGCTGGGAAGCCCAGTTCACCGTGGTGCCGTTGGCCTCGCTGATGCGCTGAGTAGCCGCGTGACGTGTCGGGGCCCAGGGACGCCGGCCTCAGCCGACACGTGGCGTGCGTGAGGCCCTGTCCAGATGCCCTTCTGCCCCGAGGCGCCCACTGGGACTCTTCGGGACTGTGCCCTCCCCTTGTGTACATTTCTCTTATAAGTGGTATTATATCTGTATGAAACCCAGTAACCAATAAAATGACTGCATGTCCCTACTCTCTGTAGTAAGGCATATGCACGCTTTGTTTTTATTTTTCAAAGTTTCATCCTAAAGCTAGTTAAGATGGCATTTATATGAAAGCATTTTTATCACAAAATAAAAAGAAAGTTACATGTCCAGCTCCCTGGCGTTTGTGTTTACTTTCCGCTCCTGCGCCCCTGCCTTGCGGTGACTTAACCTCATGGCCTCACAGTGGGGCGAGAGGTCATTCACATTCACTGAGTCCCCCAAAACAGGACTAGGCTGCTTTTTTGTTCCGGTGTTCACGTCATCCATAAATGCTTTGTGGGAAGAAAGCTTCTGTCAAGAGGGACGCAACATAAAACGGAGACCCTTGTGTTAACACCAGCTGGGGCCCGCTGAGTGGCCGCACCCACCGGACGGAGCTTGCTGAAGTAGCCATTAATGGGCCTGTGGCCTCAGTACTCACAGTAGTGGTGTTACTCGGCATGAAGACGTAAGGCTGGAAGATAGTATTTTTCATATGACGTGTAGACGTGCGGCCCTGTTCCCCTAAGACAGTAAAGCGTCTTCAATTAATGTTACCTCAGCAGACATAATTTTTCTAAATAAAAAGGTTACTTGAGGGCCCTCCCTGGAGGCGCGCCGGATAAAGCACCGCATTATGAAGCTCTCCGAAGCCCCTGCAGCACGAGTTCGATCCCCGGCCAGGGAGTGACCCACAGGGTGCAGCAGACCCCTCCTGGCTCCCCGCTGCTCCCTCACAGTGTATTTCAGTCGACCCGCCTGTTCTGTTCCCCACTCTGTCTTCTGTCTCTAGCGACTCCTCTCACCCCCACACCTCTGGCCTGTACCCCAGTTCTGTAAGCATAAATAAATAACTTTTAAAAAGTTACTTGAAATAGGGGCCGGCTACGCATCAGCTAAGCACAGATGAGCAGTTAGTTTTAATTCAGTATCTGCAAATATGTGAACAGTGCATATTTGAACATTGCTAAGACAGCAGCTCTTACACATCCTCAAGGAAAAATGCTGTAACCGCAGGGACAGAGGTGAACGACACTTCCCGAGGAGGGAGACGGTTTTGCATCATACACAAACACAGACTCACTAACTCGAGCCGACAATGCGGTGCTTTAACTGGGGGCGCCACCAGGGAGAGCCCTCAAGTAGCTTTTTTACTAAAAAAAAAATTATGTCTACCGAGGTGGCGTTAATTGAGGACGCTGTATTGTCTTAGCCGGTAAATGCTACACCGAGAAAAATGCTTCATGCTTTAACACGACGCGTTATGTACCACTATCCTGAGTGCTAAGAATTTGTAGAGAAAACATCGATCTTCGTACTGCATTTTGCAGTCTTGTAAAATGAAAGTGAACTTGAGAGCTAAGGAACCACTCGTCCAAGCTCCGTCTCCGTGGGCCGACCCCTGGGTCGCCTCTGCAGGCTCCTGGGAAGTGCCCTCAGCTCACCGGCCGCCGCCTCTCCTGTGTTTGCTGAGCCTTCCTGCCCCTGCTCCTACGAGACCTCCCAGGCATGGAGTCCACGGAGACACGAGGCGGGAGGCCAAGTCCTGCATCACTGCAACTGCAGCCTTGGATGCCAGGTTCTGGCTGTGCCACGGGAGACCGCAGCATCCCTCCGCCAAGCAACTAAAAAGTCTCACAGCCCCGGAAGAGGGACTGGGTTCAGCGTAGACTGTCCTTAGTGCTCACGCGCTGCCCCACAAGGGGGGTGGAGGGGGTGGGCTTGGCCCTGACTATATGCAAATGAAGTAAGTGCTCGCAAAAGTCCCTTTCCAGAGAGGATGTCCTGAGGCATGTGTGTGTGTGTGTGTGTGTGTGTGTAGACAGAAGTGTGTCAGACAGTGTCCGCTTATTTTGATTTAAAACTAGCAACTTTGGGGCCCTCCCTCGTGGCCCAAGGGTTAAGTCTCAGCACTGCGAGGCTGTCTGCAGTCCCTGCAGCACGAGTTCGATCCTGGCAGGGAGGGACCCACAGGGCGCAGCAGACCTCTCCTCTCTCCCCGCTGCTCCCCTCAACTGTGTGTTTCAGTGGATCCTCCAGTTCTGCCCCCCACTTTGTCTCCGGGGAGTCCTCTCACCCCCTGCACCTCTGGGTGCACCCTGTCCTTGTATGCATCAATAAATATTTTTTAAATAAAAAAAAATAAATGTACCAGTCAAGTCCCAACCAGCAGGTGTGGGCAGACTCAAACTCGGATGGTGAGTTAGGAGAGGACTCCCAGCGTGTGAGTGAGTGTGAAGCCCTTGCAGCAACTCCGAGTGGTGATCACACCAGGACCAACCAGGAGTGGTGAGAGGTTCTGGGAGCTGGAAGGAGACGTCGTGCAGAGCAAGTAACCTCAGCGTTAAGACTTCCCTCCAGGAACACGGTGAGGCCCTAAACCCCTTGCAGCAAGGAAGCCAGGGAGTGACCGACAGGACCTCAGTCCCTGCCTCACTTCCACCATGAACTTTTCACTTGCTAAATCCCAGTGGAAGTCAGAAGCTGCAGAAACCCTTGGAACGCTCCTCTGATCCAGGTCAGCCTCCGGGGTGTAGACCTCCATTAGGAAAGGCAGAGGGCCCTCCCTGGTGGCGCAGCGGGTTACAGCACAGCACTAGGAAGCTAAAGCCACTTCCGCACGAGTTCGGTCCCCGCCTGCCCCAGAGGTGACCCACACGGCCCAGAAGACCTCTCCTGACCCGCCCGCGCTCCCCTCAGCAGTGTGCTTTGTCAGTCGGCCTGATCTGCTCCCCGCTCTGTTTCTGGTGAATCCTCTCACCGCCCCTGCACCTCTGGCTGTACCCCAGTTCTGTGTGCATACATAAATCAATCTTTAAAAAAAAAAAAAAAAAAGAAAGAAAGGCTGACAGACCTGAACATGCATTGCATTACTGTCAAACACTGTCATGCCTCCAAGATGTGCCTCCCGGCCAGTGTATTTTTAAACTTACTTTCTGCACTGGTCATTCCTGGGCAGTGTCTATGTCCCCCACGGTGTGGGTCCCACAGTTCTCCCACCACCGCGGCACCTGTGGTCCGTGTCCACGGGCCCTGGGCTCTTCCCTCCCTCGTTCTGACGCCTCTCTCTCCTTTCCCGGTAGGCACTTCAGGGCCCTGGTCAGCCGGCCAGTTTCGTCAACTCCCTGATCCGTGGTTGGGTTCGTTCTGTGGCACATGTAAGTGAAACCATCCGCTATTTCTCTCTTCCCATGTGACTGTGTCACAAGGTGTCATCTCCTCCCGCGCCATCCCTACATGGCATGAGTCTGTCTTCTCTGACTGCTGCGTGTCCCACTTTGTGGACACACCCCGCTTTCCTGTTCTGCTCATCTGTTGGGGTATTCAGGTTGTTCCCATGTCTTCGCGGTTGTGAAGTGCAGCAAATACAGGGCTGTAGGTTTCCTTTTGAATGAGTTTTTTGTGTCCTTTGGGTAGATTCCGAGGAGTGGAATTGCTCGTGAGGCAGACCTTTATATCCACTTATGTTTTATTTTTCCTGGTTTCACCTCACATCTTCTCCTTGGGAAGGGAAAGACGTAGAATGTAGTCGAACTGACAGTCTGTCTCCCCTGAGGCCCCACCCTGACAGGTTGAGGAGTTTTGGAGAACAAATACATTACACCATGCAACAGGTTTCAGAACCACAGAGAGACACTAGGTGGGGCCCAAAGATGGGGGTTCACTATTCACAACAGAGATTACCTTACGGTAGACAGGCACCGAGCACATGTGTGCCCACGGCCACATGCACACAAATACCTAAAAGCAGTCTACAGTCTACGGAGACCCCACGCTGACTACACAACAGAAAGGCCCATCCCACATGAAACCAGAGATCTGGGAGATCTGGCTAACTCTTTGGATGCCAAAATCCTAAATATAACAATAACAGCAAAATAAGACAAAGAAACAGGCGATATTGGTATAGCTGAGAGTCGGTTACAGCTCTAGAAGCTGACCCCAAACAAGTGGCCTGTGTGCACTGCTGAACTGTCACAGGGAGGCTTCCTGAGTGCAGAAAGGGCACGGAGAGATAGCTAACCGCGTCAGGAACATGCTGCTGGACAAGTAAGAATGTCTGAGAGGGAGCAGCGACAAATCATGAACAGGGAGCAAACAGGAACTCTTCTGGGAATGGAGAGTAGAATGCCCCCACGTCAAACTTCACAAGAGAGGTTCCAGAATGGGCTAGAAAAAGCCAAAGGGGTGGTTTTCATAAGCAGTGACTCACAGGAGCGAGAAGATAAAAAATGCACGAAAATAAAGAGCTACGGAAAAGAGAGGAGTGCGTGGAATGAAACACCGGTGCGCTGTGTTCCTCCAGAAGAGACTGGGAAAGAACTTCTCTGAAGAAACACTGGCTAATAAGGTCCCATTTCTAAAGAGGAAAATGGACACAAAATTCATGAAGCTCAAAGAACTCTTATTAGGATTTAAAAAGGGGACTTGCTCAGAAACATTTTCCTGCCTGAAAGAGCTGTGCAGGGCGGCGCCATAGAGGGGACCAGTGTGTGTGTGTGTGGGGGGGGGGGGACAGAAGGAGTTTGCGGGGTGCACTCTAGCGCCCACAC